ATAATCTTTTTAATATTGAGTATGGTAATATGGAAAGTAAAAGACAAGGGGAAACCTTTTGTGGTTCTGTCAGGAAGGGAAAGGCAGAAGGGCAGCAGGCAGTAGGACATGGCTGAGGGCCCTGTCAACCTCCATGAAGATAGAAGTTCGGTTGAGCAAAAATGAAGGAAAGGGTAAAGAAAGTTTCGAGAAGTATCAACAACATCAAATTAAACTGAATGGTCTACAATGCTCTGGCACCACCCTGCGGCTAAGAAAGGCCGTGAAATTATGGCCAGTGCCTCCTTATCAACTTTAAGAACTGAGTGCCTGTCAAATATTGCCTCCTTATCAATTTGAAATGCTTTAAGCGTCTGAATTACCTCTTTCTCTATTACCTAGGCAGCATCTCTCTGTTTGGTAAAAACAGAAGAAAAATATTCATATAATACCTAGTAATATCCCCTGCCTCCATGTATAAATGCCCTTTTGGTCATTAACTGGCCCCTCTCCTCTTTATATGTTTATGTTATCAATTTTATTTGAGCAGTTTCAAAAGAAACTTGAAGGATCTAGTTTTAATTGCTCATGTTTATTTTTTAAATAATGAACAGAAAAAGCAAATCAATGGTTATGTAAACAGTGGAACAATGCTCCCACCTAAATGTTACAGAGATGTGTAAAACAATGCATACTTTTTGCAATTATATCATTCTTTATTCCAGCTTATTTGCAACAGCTAGTATTGATCAGAGTCTTGAGATTCAGGCATGCCTGTAATTGAATTTTATTAGGCTAAGTTGAGTTCTGCTAATAAGATTCCAGGAGCAGAATCTGTGTGAGTTTTAATACTGCATTGGTGAATGCTAGCTGAACTGCAAAATGATAACGTCGACAATTTATAACAGTACTCAGCCACATGTTTAACGCAACCCCAAAGCTCTTAAAAATCTATTCTTTAAAAAAAAAGTAGCCTGGACATTCTGAGGAGTTCAGGGTGGCACAGTGGTTAGCACTGCTGCCTCACAGCACCAGGGACCCAGGTTTGATTCTAGCCTTAGGCAAGTGTCAATGTGGAGCTTGCATATTCTCCCAGTGTCTGGATGGTTTCCTCCAGATACTCCGGTTTCCTCCCATAGTCCAAAGATGCACAGGTTAGGTGGACTGGCCCTAATAAATTGCCCATAGTGTCCACGGATGTGCAGGCTAGGTTGATTAGTCATGGTAAATGCAGAGTTATGGAGAAAGAGTAGGGGGGTGGGTCTGGGTGGGATGTACTTTGGAAGGTCAGTGTGAACTCGACGGGCCAAATTGTCTGCTTCCACACTGTAGAAATTCTATGATTCTAGTGAGTGATAAACACTGTCAGACTGCCAGTCCGCTTATATCTTTTTCCTTTAGGACTCAACTCTACATTTAGAGCCAGCAATTGGGGCAGGTTTGAGTTAACCAGCTCTAGCTGATAAATAAAAAGTAAAAAAGCAGTGGATGCACATTGTGTGTTATGGCAATAACAAAGACTAGGCTGAAAGAAGGGCAAGACCGGGTTTTAGTTATTCTTGGGTACAAGTTGTTTGGAAAAGATGGAAAAAGGAGGAAAGCAGGGCTGGGTGCCACTATTAAGGACAGCAATGCTGTGCTGGAGAAAGCAGATATCCCAGATGATACAAGGACAGAAGCAACTTGGCTAGAGATATGAAACAGAAAAGTTGCAATAATGTTGCTTGGGATGGCCTAGAGACCATCAATTAAAGGAAAAGATGTATATATCCAAATGACAGGGAAGTAAGACAGTTGCCAACATTATAGAGTGGTTATGACTGGGAGAGGGTCTTTAATTACCCAAATATAGAGCAGTAGTGTAAAGAGCAGTGGGGCAAGCATTCCTAGCCTATGTTCCAAAGAATTTCCTGTAGCCGTACGTGTCCAGTCCAACAAGAATAGGCGCACAGCTGTAGCTGATTCTTACAAATGAGACAAGCCAAAAGTATTATTGGGGAATACTCAGGAGACAGTGATCATTGTATTACAAACGTTAGAGATGATGGCAAAGAATGACAATGGCCAGAAAAAGTTTTAAAAAAAAAAAATCAACTGGCAGAGAGTCAACCTCAATGGAACAAGTAAGATCTGGGCAGGATAGACTGGACCAAAAGATTGATTGAGGGAAAAAAAAAACTGAACAATGGACAACCTTCAAAGTGGAAGATGGTTCAGGTACTGTCAAGGTATATTCCCACAAAGGGACAGCAAAAAAAATAGAACTTCCTGGATGGAAAGGGGCATAGAAATTAAAATAGAGGCAACAAAGCATGCTTATGACATACGAGACAACAAGGTGCAGAGCTGGATGAACACAGCAGGCCAAGCAGCATCATAGGAGCAGAAAGGCTGACGTTTTGGACCTAGACCCTTCATCAGAAATGGGTTTATCCAGCTCTGCACCTTGTTGTCTCAGATTCTCCAGCATCTGCAGTTCCTACTATCTCTTATGACATACGCCTGGTTAAAAATATAATCATGAACCAAGAGGATTACAGAGCTTCAGAGGGGAAATGAAAACCACATATGGGAAAGCAAAGATAGATTATGAGAAAAGACTGGAATTCTCTTTATGTTGGCTGCAAAAGTCCTATTGCCATGCCAAAAGTAAAAGTGTGGTAAAAGGAGGAATAAGGCTGATTAGGGACCAAAATGGGGGGTTACACATAAAATTAAGTCAATGCTTTGCCTCTACTTTTACCAAGGAGACAGATGATACCTAGATCTTGGTAACAAAGTAGAAAACTCTATCACTAGGAGAGTTTAAAATTGAAAAGGAAGTAGTGTTGGTTAGACTTAAAGCTGACAAGGCACTAGAACTGGATGAAATGCATCCAAGGATACTGAAAGAAGTGTGAGTGAAAACTGTAGAGGCACGGGCCATAATCTTTCAATTTTCCCTAAACTTAGGGGAAGTGCCAGAAGACTGCAGAATTGCTACTTTATTCAAAAAGGCTTGTAAGGATAAGCCCAGCAATTACAGACTAGTCAGTTTAACTTCAAGGTGAGGAAGCTTCTGGAAACATTTATTTAGAATAGAATTAGTAGTCATATGGGAAAAAAGGAAGGTTGATGAGGAAGATCAGCACGGATTTCTAAAGGAGAAATAGCATTGAACTAACTTGGAGTTTTTTGAAACCGTAACAGAAAGGGTCAACGAGTAGAAAGCATTCACTATACAATAGTGCCACATAATAGACCTGTGAGAATGGTTATTGTTCATGGAATAAAAGGGACAGTAGCAATATGGATATAAACTTGGCCGAGTGACAGGAAATAGACAGTAATGGTCATTAATTATTTTTCAGGGTGGAGGAAGGCTGTACTAAAGCTCCCCAGAAGTCAGCCTTGCAAACCGTGCTTTTCCGGGCATATGTATTAATGATCCAATCGAATCAGACAATTTCAAAGGTGTGCAGATTATATAAAACTTGGATGCATAGTAAACCATGAGGAGGACAATGTAGAGTGCATAGCAAGTTGGTGGAATGGGCAGTTAAGTACCAGATAAAGTTCAATGCAGACAAGTGTAAGTGGTAGGAGAACACACACAGACAACATAAAATAAGGCTTACAACACTACACTGAGTATAGAAGCAGAAGCAGCTGGGTCCATATGTGCACAATTCACTAAAAGGTGGCAGGACAAGTGGAGAGAACAGTTATTAAAACAAATAGTATCCTGGACTTTATTAATAATGGCTAGGGTTCAAGAGTGAGGTGATGCTGAAACTGTGTAATACATCTGTTAGGCCTCAGCTGGCTCTGGATGCCACTTTGAAGGAAGGATGTGAATGCAATGAGAGAGTGCAGAAGAATGGGACAAGAATGGTTGCAGGGATGAAAAAAGTAAATTATGGAGTTGAATTGGAGAGGTCAGTGCTGTTGTCCGGAATGGGAGGTGCCCAAGAGAAGATCTGATACAAGTTTTCAAAATCACAAGGGGGCTGAATAGACTAGGTCGGGAGAAACTGTATTCCCTTATAAAAGAAAATGTAATGCAAGAAAAAGCTTTTTTGGTGGTTCTAGTGTGGAATACACTGCCTGGAAATGTGGTGGAGGCAGGTTCAGTTGAGGTATCCAAGAGGGCATCAGATGATTATTTAAATAGAAATAACGTACAAGGATATGGGGAAAATGCCAAGAGAAGTCATGATGTTCATTTCAAAAGCTGGTGTATACATGATGGGATGAATGTTTCCTTCTGTGCCAAAACACACCTACCATTTTTTGAAATGTAAGCCTTGATGCAGCTGACTCTGAACCTTCCCAATTCCAGTAGAGTCCTGGGAAACAATTGAGCTAAATAAGTCGGAACCATCTGAAGACTCCAACTTTAACTCAGAAAGTCTACTTTCACTCCTGGGTAACTACTAAATTAGTGTGCCTGACTTTCAAGTCCTCCAACCCCTCCTACTCCTCATTGACACCTGATATTCCCTTCATTCCAAACCCATGGAAGTTTTAAAAATCTTTACACTTACAATTAATCAATAAAAGTTACATTAAACATTTAAAAATACAGAAAAAAAATGTAATCCCTGAAAATGCCACAGAAGTTTCATTACACTTCTCTTACAATTTAAATCCCTATCGTATCTGCTGCTGATCTTAATGAGTGTTCCCATGTCCTTTGGCCTCATGGGGGAGTGAGGTGTGGCTTCCACCTTCCCTGTGCTGTGTCAAGGCAACCAGGGATCACAAAAGCACAGAAAGGTAAGTGGGCATTTTATGTATTGACCACTGTTGAATGGCTTTGTTCTGGTGGCAGAAGGTATGGGTCTTCAGTATGAGAAGGACCAAATAACGCAGCTTTTTTTTAAAATCTGGAATGCATTGTAACAGCATTATCACAATCCACTAATGTACTAAACGTGGTACAGTATCTCTAACAACACTAACTCAGGACAGATATTCCATGCATACTATCACAACCTTTAAAAATCATTTTCAAATATTGTTCCTGAACAGATTCATACCTGGTTTTCATCCTGTTCTTCCATACTGTATTCTGTGCTTTGTTGTACCTCTGAAGCTTTATCTCCCAGTAGAAAGCCTAGCCGTGTCATGAGTGTATTTGCAGCCTCATCCACAGATGGTGGAGGTCCCAGTTCCTGTTCTGAGTCACCTGTGCAGAAAGGTAGACAACAAATTAATTAAAGAAACAATCTTAGATTTAAGAAAAAGAGTTGGGTGACAATTTTCACAATATAATCAACCCACTTGTACCAGACTTGATTTAGCTCACAGATAGTAGGAACTGCAGATGCTGGAGAATCCGAGACAACAAGGTGCAGAGCTGGATGAACACAGCAGGCCAAGCAGCATCATAGGAGCAGAAAGGCTGACGTTTCGGGCCTAGACCCTTCATCAGAAATGGGGGAAGGGAAGGGGGTTCTGAAATAAATAGGGAGAGAGGGGGAGGCGGATAGAAGATGGATAGAGGAGAAGATAGTGGAGAGGAAACAGACAGGTCGTAGAGGCGGGGATGGAGCCAGTAAAGGTGAGTGTAGGTGGGGAGTTAGGGAGGGGATAGGTCAGTCCAGGGAGGACGGACAGGTCAAGGGGGCGGGATGAGGTTAGTCGGTAGGAGATGGGGGTGCGGCTTGAGGTGGGACGAGGGGATAGGTGGGAGGAAGAACAGGTTAGGGAGGCGGGGATGAGCCGGGCTGGTTTTGGGATGCGGTGGGTGGAGGGGAGATTTTGAAGCTTGTGAAATCCACATTGATACCATTGGGCTGCAGGGTTCCCAAGCGGAATTTGAGTTGCTGTTCCTGCAACCTTCGGGTGGCATCTTTATGGCACTGCTGAGTTGGCTGGATGGCTGGTTTGTGATGCAGATTTACACCAAGCGTTGGTTCAATTCCTGCACCAGCTGAGGTTTATCAGGAAGGACTCTCCATTTCAACCTCTCCTCCCATTTGAGGCGTGGTAACCCTCACGTTAAACCACTATCAGTCCTGTCTCTCTAATGACAGGGCAGTCCTATGGTCTGTAGAACCCAACAAATTTACCTTTAAAGGAGTGTTTAAATAACGTGGTTGAAACGGTCTACCACATCCTGAAAAGACTATCCAAATGTAACTACCTGGGCATGAAAATTCATCATCTGGAATGCATAGCTAACATTAAGAATTATGAATATCCCTGGAGATGAGAATTCCCAACTACAGGTAGTGCTGGAACAAGGGCAATCCTCAAAAACTCATTAATCATACAAGAGGAACGCACACCCTCCATTTATGATAATGTGGAACCCTGCATTGCAAATGGATTGTCCCTATTGTGAGCCAAGAGTCAGTATTCACACATCAAAACAGTCCCCTTCCAACCTCACCTGTGAGAAGCCATGGTCACTAATTTCAGGTTTTACTATAGAAAATAGAAAAATCAAGGAGGATTCCTTGGAAAATGGAAGATTAGTTCTCTCTGACTCTACAATCACTCAAGCCAAGACCGTGTCTGTAACAAGTTGTAATACACGGAGGTACAAATTAAAAATAACATAAAAGTATCAAATGCCATAGAACCTAAAATAAATAAACAAATAATTTCATTTAAAAACACGGCCTCAAGAAGAATAACCAGCAGCAACACCAATCAAAACTTTAAATTATTTCACCTTGTAATTCATTCACTTAAGCATTAATGGCTTTTTCAATATCACCTCTCCTCACAATGTACTAGTTCTGTTTGAATGCATGCTAGCATGTGTGTTTATGTCATGGAATTTGGGAAGGTCTTTCACTTGTTTAATCATATTTACTTGATTGCGTTTACAATCAACTAATTTTAAACTCAAAGAGATCTGACTTGTTCCTTCATAGTTTTAGTGCTCAAGTATACATACACTGACAACAAGAGGATAACTAGGGAGAAGGTAGGACCACCAGAGAATAAAAGGAGGGAACTTGTGCTTAGAGGCAAAGGATGTGGGCAAGATCCCAAATGTACTTTGAGTCAGTGTTCACCCAGGAGGATATGTAGGATAGAAAGATTTGTGTGGAATGTGCCAAAATGCTAGGGCATTTTGAGATCAAGGAGAAAGTGGTGCTGGGTCTCTTGAACAGCATTAAGGTGGGTAAGTCCCCTTGGCCTGATAGTAGCTACCCCAGGTTATTGAGAGGGGCAAATGAGGAGATTGCTGGGAACTTGCCCAAGATCGTTATTATCCTTGTTAGCCAACGGAGGGGTCCCAGAAGACCGGCAAGTAACTAACGTTGTTTCTCTGTTCATGACGGGAAATAGGGTTAATGCAGAAAACTATAGACTGGTGAGTCTCACATCAGTAGCTGGGAAGCTATAGGAGAGAATTCTTAGGGATAGGATTTATGCACATTTGGAAAAGCATAGCCTAATTAGAGGCTGTCAGCGTGGCTTTGTGCAAGGCAGGTCATGTCTTACTAACTTGATTGAATTTTTTGAGGAGGTGACAAAGGCAATCGATGAGGGCAGAGCAGTGGATGTTGTCTACAAGGACTTTAGTAAGGCTTTTAAAAAGGACCCTCATGGTAGGCTCATCCAAAAGATTAACATGCATGTGGGCTCCATGCTGATTTGGCTGTGTGGATTCAGGATTGACTTGCCCATAGAAGGCAGAAGGTAGTGGTGGAAGGGTGTTTTTCTGATTGGAGGGTGGTGAATCCATACTGGGACTTCTGTTGTTGTGATATATAACTTGGATGAAAATATAGATGGACGAGTTAGTAAGTTTGCAGAAGACAAAAAGAAAGAAAGATCGGTGGAGTTGTAGATAATGTATAAGATTGCCAAAGGGTACAGCACCTTATTGATTAGTAGCAGATATGGGTGAAGAAATGGCAGATGGAGTTTAATCCGGCTAAGTATGAGGTGCTGCACTTCGGGACATCAAATGTTTAGGAAAAGTATACAGTTGATAGCAGGACCCTGAACAGCACTGATGTACAGAGGGATCTTGGGATTCAAGTCCATTGCTCCCTGAAAGTGGCTGCGCAAGTAGCTTGGTTGGTAAAGGCAGTGTATGGCATGCTTGCCTTTACTGTTTGGGAAATGGAGTACAAGAGTCAGGACGTCATGTTGTAGCTTCGGTAGACCACTCTTAAGAGTATCGCACTCAATTCTGGTCACCACATCACAGGAAGGAGGTGGAGACTTTGGAAAGGGTGCAGAAGAGGTTTACCTGGATGCTGCCTGGATTAGAGGCTATGAACGTTAAGGAGAGCTTAGAAAAACTTGGGTTGTTTTCTCTGGAGCAGTGGAGGCTGAGGGGAAATTTAATGGAAGTCTATAAAATGATAAAATGCACAGATAGGGTTGACGGTCAGAATCTTTTTCCCAGAGTTGAAATCTCTAAAACCGGGGGGCATGCATTTAAGGTGAGAGGGGTAAAGTTCAAAGGAGATATGAGGTCTTTTACAGAGAGTGGTAGCAGTCTGAAATGTGATTTCAGGGGTGATGGTGGAGACAGACACGATAGGGGTGTTTAAAGGGACTCGGGTAAGCATACAAATATGCAAGGAATGGAGGGACATGGACCAAGGGCAGGCAGAAGTGATTAGATTAATTTGGCATGACGTTCAGCGCAACATCGTGGGCCAAAGGGCCAGTTCCTGTGCTGTATTGTTGTACATTCTATAGACTGAACAAGAAAATTTTGCAAAATCAAACTCCTATATCAATCTCAGGAGTGAGGAGAGAGGAATTTATTCACCCCTCCAGCCTGGGTCTTAACAAATGTAGTTTCATAAATGTTTCAGTCAAAAATATACAAATTGTGTATGAAGCACACAAACAGGTCCAAGTATTTTTTTCTCATTTGTATTTTCTGCTGGTCAAAAGGTATAATAAACTAAAGATACAATTAAAATAGGTAATGAATTGATAAGGAGTCTTGTAATACAGCTGTTTTAGGACCTTGCCAAGCAGTATAAAGCTAAATAAACTGCTTCCAGTGATCTCTTCAATGAATTTACTGAAGGCATCACCAGCTAATATGCAGAAAGGATTATTGAATTAATGTGTTACGCAGGGTTTTTGTTTATTCACTCATGGGATGTAGGTGTTGCTTGCTAGCCAGCATTATTGCCTGTACCTGGTTGCCCTTCAGATGGCGATGGTGAGCTGCCTTTTTGAACTGTTGCAGTCAATGCGCCGTTGGTACACCCACAATGCTGTTGGGGAGGCAATTCCCGAATTTGACCCAGCAACAGTGAAGGAACAGTGATATAGTTCCAAGTCAGGATGGTGAGTGGCTTGGAGAGAGTTGCAGGTGGTGTCCAGTTGACTTTCAGGTTAGTGGTAACCCCAAGGCTATAACACCATTGAATGTCAAAACGTGGTGGTTCAATTGTCTCTTATTGGAGATGGTCATTGCTTGGTATCGAAATCTGGAATTGAAAGCTAGTCTCCCTGATAATGGCCATAACAACTATCATTAATGTTTGTAAACACTTCATCTAGTTCACTCATGTCCTTTAGGGAAGGAAGTCTGCCTAAACATAACTTCAGACACACAGCAATGTAGCGGACTCTTAACCATCCTCTAAAATGGCACAGCATGACACTTGATTCAAATCCCACTAACAATTTTTTTCAAAAATTCTAGTGATTATCATAAAACTGTCTGCGGAATCTTATTGTGTGTAGTTTGGCTGCTGTCATCCAGTACAATACAACAGAGGATAATGAATAAACATCAAAGGTAGCTAAACTGAGCTCGGTCACAGATAAGCTATGATTAAACATTGAATGGTGGAACAGACTCAAGAGGCTAATTGGTGTCCTGTTCCTAACAGTGACTGCAGTTCATGCAAGCATGCACTGCTTGGCAGAAACAGCAATACTTGGAAATGAACGTAGTGGGTGCACTAAATCTCCACGTTTGTTGCAACTATGCAACTCAACACATTTTCCACTGGCCACTAGTTAGCATTTTCAGGTACTGAAAAAGTGTGCTGAAAAGATTCGTATAGCTTTTCTGCTGAGATAGATATTTTAATCAACCTGTCCAGACATGTTGTCACACACCTATGGAGCAGGTGGGACTTGAACCAAGACGTCCTGGCTGAGAAGTAGGGCACTAACATTGCAGCCTTTTACTAGGACACTGTTCATAACAAGGTAAAGGGAAATAAGTGGAAAAATAGA